AGGGCGCCTCCGGAGTTGTTTTCGAACTCCGGTGCGCATACCAATGCTGGCAACAGGACGACGAGCAGGTTAAACTTGTCTTTGACAATTTGGTCGAGTGGATCAGCGTGCTGGAAGGCGGGCAGGATCCCACCGATCGCTTCATGAATTTGGGGAGGTCCCTACTGAATACATTCCGGATGCAGCTCACGATTGCATCCGATCCCGGCATCCGGCTTTCCAAACTGCGCGCCCGTCTACACACCGCCGTTCACCAGACGGACACCTATGCGAGGGCAGTCCAGCCTCTCATCGATCGGCGAGAAACCCAACGCAATTTGCGATGCCAACGATGTCATACCTATGGACACGAGGCATCTACATGCAACGTGCGCCCCAGAAGGAATTACTCACAATACAGGCGCCCATCAAAAAACGGCAGAGGGGCTGCCGCACGCCGCTCATGAATGCTGACGACGGGAGCTCCATCCAATCCGCCACCTCCCACCAATCCTCACAGGCAGCGCACCGCACCGCCGATGTTCCACCCGATCTCTCAAATCGCCCGACGCAATCGTCGGGAAGGGCGATGGAGCTTATCCGCCAACGACGCTCGACTGTGGTACGACGAAACACCGACATCCCCGCCTTGGGCCAATTGTATGAGGGGAGCAAACGAGGTGGCTCGAGAGATGTGGGCGCCGTCAACGTGGGAGCAGAGAATGTCTCTAGCGGAGCAATTCACAACCTTTTGCCGCACGCACGAACGCACGATGAACGAGGAGAGCTGTGCAGCCTTTTTGATGGCAATATTAGATGTGGCGCCATCGACCCGACAGAAGTACGCCAGGATGCTGCGGTCCATGTTGCAAATGAATCGAACCCCGCTGGATATGGTGATTCTGGGGTTACAAAAAATTGCGGCGCGATGGGAGACGAAGCAGACGCGCCCCTTAACAGAGGAAGAGATGAATCAAGTTATCCGCAGCCGAACCGATTGGAGGGAACGTGTTGTTTTTCGACTTGCGTGGATAACGGCGAGTCGTTTGTTTGAGATTGCGGCCTTAACCCCCAAAAATTTTATTGTGGAGGCGGACGGGACCCTAACTTTGGATTGGTTCGTGGCGTCAAAGACGGCGAGGGCGGATCCCCACCGCGCCTCGCGGTTTGTGAAGATACGAAGGCAGGACGCCTTCGACACTATAAAGCTATGCAGGGCACTTCAAGAAAACGAAAAGCTCACGAATTTTACGGCTGCCCACGTGGGGCGAGCTCTGGCTACTTGAAATGCCACGGCGCATTCCACAAAACGCGGTGCGTTGAGGCACGCTGCTCAAATCGTGGAGGCGTACAATTTGAATCCACGCGTGATCTCGCAGTTGGCGAAGCACGTCGACCCGTTTGACCTTTTCCAGAGCATAGTTCGATATCTGAGGAGGTACACCACAATGCTGACCCAGGTGTCGTTGCTGGCCGCATTGATGTGAAGGGAGAAACGGCGGAAGGGCAGGAACCCTGGTTGAAGGCAGAGGAGCATTTTTTCCATGATTTTAATCACAATCATGCCGCTACAATAACGAGACGCGCGACAGGGAAGCGTCTGGCCACTCCACAAGATGAACACGCTATCCCGCTACAGCAACAAGTCAGCGTGCCCGTATTGAATCTAGAGTGGATCATGAACCGGGTTCAACCCGGCTACCTTGGAGAGGCTCATGCAAGTTTGGGGACTCGTCGGGCGGTCTCCTCTCCCTCCGTCTTCCTCCGGTAAGGCGCGCGAAGGCTCAGGGAGGATTCCAACCGCTGACGCGCATTTGTTACGAAAGGCGGGAATTATCGAGGACGCTTTGTCCACAATAACAGGCGGATGGATAATACCTTTTTCGGTTGTGGAGGAGAAAACCACCGGTTTACGACGACGACGGACCGCGTGGCCCCGCGACAAGAACAGAGACGACCCTTATGAGGCGAATGGTCCTCCTTTACATATTTCCCATTATTTGCCACCTGTGATGGCTGAGGCCGCTTCCTGCCTGGACTTAAAGGCATCCTTTTTTCAAGTCTATTTACCGCGGGAGACTCGGCATCACTTTCGGTGCCGCGTGGAGGACGGCACTCTGGTGGAGCTCACACGGCCCCCTATGGGATACAAGGCCGGCCCAGAAATTCTCCGGATTATTATTACTTCGGCAATCGCGGGGGTGACGACGGTGGTTCGCCCCCTCTGGGCCGCACCTACATTGGTGCGTATCGACGTATGGATCGATAATATACGCATTGCAGGGTCAAAAACCGATGTGACATTGTGCGAAGCCCAAGTGCTTCGTAATGCGGACAGTTGTCACGCCACGATAGGGGAGGATCGCGAATCGGGCGCTACGCAGTACACCTTCCTGTGGGTGCAGTTTGATCATACTCACCGGGCGGTATTTCTGAGTGACAAGTTTGTCCGGTCTGTATGCGCCATGTCAGCGCTCAATTCTTTAGCCATCGCGGAAATGGAGGTTATGGCGTCACGCTTTTTGCCCGCGGCCGCCATTTTGTGCACGCGTTTATGTGCATATTACTTTTTCATCAAGGCAGTGCGACGACGATTGTCCGCACTTAACCGGAGGATTGTGCTGGAGACATCCCCGGCGAACGTTCCGCCGGCAGCGGTTGGTTTGGGCGAGGGATTGCGACACGTGATCGAGAACAATCATAGGCGAATCATCAAGCCCACTGAAAAGGCATCGGCCGCCATCATCGCGGAAGCGTCGCTCAATGAATGGGGAGCCGTTATCATTCCAGACTCCGGCGACGTTAAAATTTCCGGAGGAGAGTGGAAGAGGAAGCCTTTTCCTATCATGCTGGCCGAGGCACGCGCGGTACGCTTAGCCTTATCGGCTTTTTCCGCCATCTTGCCATCCACCATGGACGTTTGGGTGGACAACACTTCGCTGCAAGGAGCGGCGAATAAAGGCAGCTCGAAATTGCACGCGTTGACGTGGGAGCTGAAACAGATATATGAGTTTTTAGGCTCACGCGGAATAAAGGCATCCTTTGCCTACGTGCGGTCTGCAGAAAATCCCGCAGACGGCATATCACGCGGTCGTGTTTTTACACTTCAGGAATTGGCGAAGGGGAGCGGCGGGGTCTTTTGGCCGGAGAACCCCAAAGTCTGCCACTTCGTAAGTGATAATATTCAAATCCTAACTGAGGACAAAGGACCATGCTAGTGGTCCACAGAATTCTATATATTGAATGAAAAGAAAACATTGAAGCAATTAACTAACGAACCTTTTTTCCTAACTTGTTTGGTTTCCATAGATTATTTCAGGATCCGGCCAGCTGCCCAGAAGATTATTCCCTCGTGATAATGGTGCAAGTGAAGGCCATACCGGGGAAAGTGACGTACATGCCAAAGACTCCTCCAGCGTGTCGTCTGTCGAGAGCAAACCCACAGGACAAATATTATTGACAGTGCAACCAACGGGACAAAGTCCACCAACTACAGCAGGTGACACATAGAATTCAACGCAAAAAATTAAAAGACGACAACCTCAGGAATCGGAACGGACACTGAAGCACCTAAACCGTATTCAAAGAATGATGTGGCAGAGCAATACGATGAAGACAGAGACCCATCAGATTTGATAAGGGGTGCAAATACAGGCCATCCGAAAGATACAGCATCATCACCCATCTCTACAAGTGGCAATGGTGATTTCCAGGGAATGGCGAATGAGAATGGTGACTATCCTGAAAGGCACAATCCCAAAGGAACCCACGACGACCCCGCAGATGGTAATGTCAACGTCGGTACTAAAGCCAATGAACCAGCACCAGAAACAGTGAAAACGGTCACCGCTCAACCAAACGATACGGTGACGCCTGGCGACAGTGACGGCGGCACCGCGGTTTCCCACACCACCTCCCTCTTTTGGTTCTTCTTCTTGTTGTATGTGCGGCTGCGGCTGCTGTGGTGGCCGCGTGAGAGTGTGGGAGAGAGAGCCATGCACCGCCCGCACACACACTCGTCTTTCACTCACTCTGTGTGTGTGTGTGTCCCCTTGCATGGACTCTCGCCCTCACCTCATCCCACGAAGCACACACATAATGTGCCCATTGTATATATTGCATGCACACCCATGCAGGCCCGTTGGTGCTCTCTTTTGCACGACACGCACCGCTGCCGTCCTGCCTGGCTGCATGGGCGGAGCACTGTAACTGTTTCTGTTTTGTTTTTATTGCATTGAGTGGGCGACCTCTCTCTCTCTCTCCCTGTGTGTGTGTTTTGCTTTACGGGAGCAATGAGAGTGTGTGCGCTGGTCGTCCCACGCTTCGGCTTTTTGTTTTGTTTTTCATTGTTTTGTGGTTGAGAGCACCCATTCCGCGGGCTACGTGTGTGTGTTTGTGTGTGATGATATGAGTAATTTTTGCGTGTGTTCTATCTGCCTCTCTCTGCCGTTGCTTTCTTCTGACTCTCTTGTGGCGCACAGCTGCTCTGCAATTATAGGTGCTGCCAAACACACAAGCACATGCACACACATGCCGTGTTTAAAACGCTGAGAATGCACGCACGCACAGGATTGTGGCTGCGGAGGCCCTCGCGAGGGGCGAAGAAGCCTGCGTTTTGTTTTTTGACATGTTGCTCGGTGTGTGCTGACGCGTGACGAATAACAACACGCCCCAATAAGCAGAAAAGAAGTAAAACAAAATGGCGCTGAGCGGCACACCGGTAAGCCAAAAATACGCAATCACCAATAAAAAAGCCGGCGATCACCCAGCAGGCACATCAAGCCTCCTAAAACCAACCTGGAATAGACAAAAAAAGGGGGGGGGGCAATCATAGAAAACAAAGATCCGCCCCCCCAAACAGGAAAAGCATTAAAAACAACGCGATCCTGTTTTTTGTCCTTACTGCCGGGGTTGGCCGCCGCAAGGAATAAAAAAGAGTAGGGCGGTGGCCCCGGACGAGAGATACATGACGACGTGTCGAATTATCCAAGTTGCGGCGGTCCGCCCCGAACGAGAGATACATGACAACGAATCGATGTATCCACGCTGCGGCGACGGCCCCGTACGAGAGATATATGACGACGAATCGAAGTATTCACGCTGCGGCTGCGGCCCCGTACGAGAGATATATGACGACGAATCGAGGTATCCACGCTGCGGCGGCGCACCCTAAACATGTCGCTTTCGTTTTCCAGGGGACAACGCAAATGTGCTCGATTGTTCGAAGATCGAAATTAACACCTTACGTGAAAATGGGTCGCGCGACCACATTTTTTTTAGCTCAGTGGCAAACAAGCTCACAATGTCATCCGGGGCGCGGGTTCGAGCCCCGAAGAAGCCTAAGTTTTTTTCCTTTTTTTTTTTTTTTGGAATTCTTGTTTCTTATTGCTTTTTAAACTTCTGGTTTGCAGGACGGTGTGCGAGTTCTGCAATCGCACTGATTCCATCTGTTTCGTGGTGTGTGCGGCTGCGGCTGCGGTGGTGGCCGCGTGAGAGTGAGTGAGAGAGCGCCATGCACCGCCCGCACACACACTCGTCTTTCACCCACTCTCTGTGTGCGTCCCCTTGCATGGACTCTCGCCCTCACCTCATCCCACGAAGCACACACATAATGTGCCCATTGTATATATTGCATGCACACCCATGCAGGCCCGTTGGTGCTCTCTTTTGCACGACACGCACCGCTGCCGTCCTGCCTGGCTGCATGGGCGGAGCACTGTAACTGTTTCTGTTTTGTTTTTATTGCATTGAGTGGGCGACCTCTCTCTCTCTCCCTGTGTGTGTGTTTTGCTTTACGGGAGCAATGAGAGTGTGTGCGCTGGTCGTCCCATGTCTCGGCTTCCCGTCACGTGTGCGTTTTGAATCTCTGCTTGTGTTGTGGTTGAAGGGGCGTATTTTAATTAACCATCATTTGCTTTCTTGTGTGGTGACGTTTGCGTTTCATTTTTCTTTTCAACAAATCAGTCTTTGTTGCTTCAGCAAGCTAAGAAATACCTTTCCAACAGTCACGCCGATGTTTCAGTGGCTCCTCGCCTCATCGTGCCCTGCAGCGCTGCCATTGCTGCTCATGATGTTGACTTTGATGTGTTGTTCCAGCGGGTTCTTTGCTGCCAGCCTGACGTACTCCTGTTCCTCTGACAAAGCGATGCGTGCCGCCAGGACGAAATCGATGCCGGTGGTGATGAAAAACGTGCCTTTGGGAACGGGAAGTGCGTCGCAGACATACACCGTCATCGGGAGGAATGGATGGGCGCCCATGCGCATCAATGTGTCCACAAATGACCCGCGTAATACCAGGAAGTATTGCAGCTCAGATCATTCTCGTGTGAGAAATTTATTGAAAGGCTATCCCGAGTGTGAGGACAATGCACTTTCCAGTAATAAGAGGAAAATCCTCATCGACAATGTTGTTCCTGCTGCTGTCAAACTGCATGCGGATCGTCTGCTCGTCCAGCCACTGGAGGGTCCGTTGGTTGTGCCCCCATTTGCCGCGGGCAGTGTTTGCAGTCGGTTCACTGTGCCTGATGAGCATCGTTCCGCTGGTGTTGCCAATTCTGACATGGTGCTGTACGTGGCTGCGGCGCCTGGTGGCGTGTGGGCACTGCCGTGCGCCACGCTGGAGGATGGCCGTCCATTCGCTGGCGTCATGAAAATTGCCCCAGCCGTTTTATTTCACGGACGCCTCGCCACCCGCATCGCCGCGCACCTGATGGCTCATGCTCTCGGGTTCGCTCACCCGCACATGGCCAGCCGCAGCATGGTGATGAATGTTACCGGTGTGCGTGGCAGGGCACTGTCGGTGGTGGTGAACTCGACGAATGCCGCGATGGCTACGAGGGAGCACTACGACTGCGATGACATTTATGGCGTGGAGCTAGAAGATCAAGAGTGGAACGGGAGTACGCTGGAGTCGCACTGGTCACAGCGCCACGCGAAGGATGAGTTGATAGCACCGATTGGAGGTGCCGGCTACTACACGGAGCTGACGCTGGCTGCATTTGCTGACCTGGGCTACTTCAAGGTGAACTGGAGGATGGCGGAGCCGATGGGTTGGGGCAAGAAGTCGGGCTGTGAGCTGCAGCAGCAGAGGTGCTCCGAACTGAACCTAATTATTCCCACATGTTCTGCAACATAAACGATGGTGTCAAACGCTGCGCGTCGGATCGGTATTCCCGTGGTTGGTGTTGGCGGAGTATCATTGAAGTGTCAAAAAAGCACTCAATGGACAGTTGCCCCATCATTGATCCCGTGATGGACGTGAGGGACCTTGAGGCTGTTTTTAAGAAGGGAGAATATTTGTCTGCGAGGCCTGGGGATAAGCTCTCTTCGTGGTGTCTGGACACGCTTCCCACCAACACGACAGATGCGAGGTACCCGGGGTATACGTATCTGAGTGCTGCCATGCATGCGGAACTGAAGTGTCTTGGCATGCAAGTGCATCTGAAAGATCCCGAAAAGCGTAACGTCGATTGGACTCCATGCGCGGGTGGGGCGACGATTACGTGGGACACACCACCCTACGATAAGGAAAGCGTCATTTGCCCTAACTACGCGGAGTTGTGCACAATATCCGCCACCGGCGGCAGTGTCCTTCCCGTGGCTCGGTGGGACGGCAAAAGAGAGGGTGTGGGGCAGGACGGTACGCCCGGAATTCTTGAAACAAAGTTCAGCAGAGGCGCCCGTCCCTGTTGCAGAGAGTATTGTGTCCGGCCGCGGCACCGAATCACAGGGTGTTGACTCAGCTGCTTTTCAGTTGAAGCCATTGCCACAGGGAGACGCTGAGGCTGCCGTGGCGCAACACGACCACCAAGCGGGAAACAATACCAGCACTCCAACAGGTAGTGAGAGGGAAGCAGCTCCAGCCGCCTCTGGCAAAAAACAACAATTTGCCTACGGCCGCTGTTGCAGGAGCAGGTGGACTTGGGAAAAAGTACAGCGAGGATTTCTTCACTACGGAAGTGGAAAGCTCGATGGGGGAGGAAGAACAATCCGCGCCGGAGGAGGGAGCAAACCCAGCAACCCTGCAGTCAAGGGAGACCACTGGAGATGGGGATGCGCAGCCAGTACAAGAAAGCATGGCGTCTCTGGCTGGAAGTGAGGGATTGCTGCCCAAACAAAGCGAGGCTCCTGTTCCAGAAAATAACCACTCCGAATCCGGGAGCGGCGCGAGCCAAGAGGACCGCCTCGCCCTGCTCAACGACGCGAAATTGATACTGCGTGATTGGAATGTTAACAGCACTGCGCGTGTGTGCGTGTCTCGGGTGTCGATGCTTCTTCTTCTGGGACTGTGTGGAGCTGTGGCAGTCTTGTGAGGCAACGAGTGTTGAATTGCGACTCCTCACGGAGAATAAATGCCGCTTTTCTTGCGGTTTTTGATGCTTTTCTTTAATGTTTTTTTTCCCTTCTTAAAAAATTTTTCCCACTTTTTCAGTTTTTCTTGGTGTTTTTTCGAATACTTAGTTTCTTTTTTTTTTTTAATGCTCGATTGCTACAATCCGTTATGAGTGACGTGTTTCTGACTTTTGTTTCCCTTTTGTTGCCCACTCGCGGTGCCGGCGTCACTGCTGCGCGTCCGGCGGACTGCAGAAAACGAGGAGTGGAGGAGCAGGCCGGACGCCGCATGGAATATAAGGGATGTTGTGTGGGCTGGTGGGAGAGTATAACTTCTTTTTTTTTCATTACCTGTTTTTTTTGTGCAGGGAATATGCATACACCCCCGATCTTCTTGTGTTGCATGGCACATGAAATTCCTGCCGAATCAATTTTTCTTTTGGTTGTGTTTTCCAGGAGTCATGACGGACTCTCACCCTTTTTTTCTTTTTGATTTCTTAAATCCCTGCGGCTTCTTTCCGTTTTTGCCGTGTCTACTGCCACTGAGTGCTTCCGTTTCATGTTTCTTTCCGCTGTCTGTGCTGCTGACATGTCCTCATATCTTTTTCTTATTTTCTGCTAGAGACACCGATGGTCCGCGACGACGACGATTGTTTGTGCTACCCATTGCGATGGCACGGGGGTGACTGGGCGCCGGCCTTCTGAGTGCACTTTGTGGGAGCAGATGGTGTGCGCCGTGCCTTTCCATGAGTTTAGGACGCCACCCGTCGGGGAAGGGAGAAGTAAATGGCTGCGGTATGTACTTGGGTTCGATTATTCCCTCTTGTCGCGGTTGTGTGTGTGCTGCGCGCATTGCTTTTTGTTGCGGTGCGACGTGGGTGGCGTGGCTTTTGCGTGTGTCTTCTTGCATGCGCTGAGCGGCGGACTTCTCTTCCCCATGACACCGCCCTTGTGTGTGTGCGAGTGGGGGAAGAAGAGATGTGTGAGGGAGCGAGCGTGGGTGGCTGCCGAGCCGCCCGCAAATCCGGGCCATCCACACACGTGTTTTTTCTTGACGGCCTTTTGCGGCTCTCAGGCCGTGGAGAGGGAGAGGATATGAAGGGTTTGCCTTTGTCAGGAGGAGGATGAGTGGAGCAATACCCTTCCGTGGTCCTTTTTTTTTTTTGGCAGCCGATGCGGAGTACATAATTTTGGGCAGTTGTAGAATGAAATTTTGATGCTGTTCCGTTTATACTGAACAATTGCTGTTACTTCACAACCAATCCGCGGCGCGATTTTGAGCGGTGCTGGCCGATGAGGGGAGAGCGATGGTTTCACTGAAGTGTTTGCATCTCCGCGCCTTTGTGTCGGTGGTTGTGCTGTGATGGAGACTGTCTGTGGACGGATGCCTCTCTGCGTGCCCCTTTGTTTATTTGCTGTTGTTGCTGCCTCTTCCTTTTCTGACTGTGCAGTTAGAGATACTTTGGTTTGAACAGCACAACCATCGTTTCAAGGTGTTAGGAATTAATTGCAGCAGTAGAATTGGTAGTATTGGGATAACGATCTATCGGAATTGTGTTTCTGGATTTGCCATCTGTAGAAAAGGATTTGATAGACAGGAGTTACGGTCGACGGGGCGAGTGCGACACACCACGAGAGCCCTGTTGATACCTGATTGGGTTGGTGGATGTGGTCTGCGGTGGGTACGTGTCCGCGCAGCCGGCACCGTGTGTTTCGCAGGGCCATTGCGGCTGTGCGTGTGGCGCTGCTTGCGGCGTTGGCGGTGGCTGCTGCTGCTGCGTGTATGCCCGCGGTGCATGCGGTTGTGTTGCGACTGCGGGGCGGCACGGTGGACAGAGCCATCACGGTTGGCCGCGCCGTGGACACGGTGCTGATGGACGGCGTGTCCATCACGAACGGCGTGGCTGTGGTGTTCGACGTTGCGGCGATGCTTCCCGGCGCGCTGCGCATCGAATTGAGGAACTGCGTGTGCGACGGCGGTGCGCAGATCTACGTGCGGGGCTACAGCGGCGAGGCGGCGAGTGACCGGAGCCTGGAGGTGAGCGTGAGCGGGCTGTCCGGGAGCTACTGCTCGCTTGTGTTTTTGGACAACCTGCCGGAACACACAAACGTGACGGTCCGTGACTCGACAATTGTGACGCCGGGGCCGATGCGCTACTCCCAGCTGAGCGGGCTGACGGACGCGGTGGCGTCGCCGCTTGTGCTGCACGCGACGTCGCTGTTGCAGACACAGCTGCGTGTGAGCAACACTGTGCTGAGGTCGTCGCACGCGGGCGGGTCGGCGGTGTACGTTGGCGGCGGCGTGGACCTGCTGTCGAGCGCGGTGGTGCTTGACGGCGTGTTGCTGGAGGCGTCGGGCGGTACGACCGCGTCCGCGATGCATGTGGCGTCCTCGTCGCGTCTCAGCCTGCGGAGCCACTCGGTGTTATCCGTGACGAACGTGTCGGTTGTGAGCAGCGGCGGTGGCATTGTGCTTGGCGAGCGCCTCGCGGTGTTTGATTCAGTGCTGCGCTTCGTGGGCGTCGAGGGGTCTGTTGCGTCGTCGCTGGTGCGCTGCGACGGTGGGACGGTCGGTGCCGGCGGGTGGCTGGACATGCACGACGTGTGGGCGGTGGGCGAGGCGTCGTCGGTGGCGTCGCTGTCGGGTGTGACGCTGAGCGGCGGTGCCGTGTCGATTGCGCGCTGCGCCGCCACTGGCGCGACGCTTGTCTCCGGGCCGACGATCACGAGCGGCGTCGTGTCGGTGCAGTGCAACCGTGCCGGCGGCCGTGTGCTGCAGAGCAGCGGCGACTACCGCATGGCCGGCCTGCCCTCCGTGAGCGTGGTGCCGTGCGACGGCTGTGCGGCCGCGCTGGCGTGCTTCGATGCGCTGACGGCGTCGTTCACCGAGTGCGTGTGCGGCTGCCGTGCCGGCGGTGTGGGCGAGGCGTGCCTGCCGTTCGACGTGCCGCCTGCGAGGGCCGGTGGCGGTGGTGGCGGCGCGGAGGACTGCGTGAGTGGCGTGACGCTGACGGAGTCGGTGACGGCTGACGGCCGGCGTGCGACGGCGTGCTTCGACTCGGTGGTGTTCAGCGGGCCGATCACTGTGACGGTGGACCTACGCTTGATGGACGTGTTCGCTGACGCGCTGAACGTGACACTGCGACACTGCGTGCTTGCGGGCGGCGCGCGGCTGCGGATTGGTGGCCTCAGCGATAGCACGGCGCGTCCGATGCCCCACGCCCTCGTCAACATGACGAATGTGACGTCGGTGGAGGGCACGATTGTACTGCATGGCGCGATGCCGCTGCACTCGAGTGTGCTGCTGGCGAACTCGACCCTGCGCGCGACGGTTGGCGGGTCGCAGTACGTGTCGATAACTCCTGGCCTTACGGGATATCGGTACGGCCCCGCGCTTGTTCTGGACGGCGTCCGGCTTCTGTCGACGCGGTTTGTCATGACGCGGTCGACGCTGGTGTGTGGCGGTGCCTCGTGCGCTACGATCCTCGTGGAGCGCGGCCTTGGCGTGAACCTGTTCAGCGTCTTCTACATGGACAACTGCGCTGTCGTGTCGCGGGCAAACGTGATGTATGCCCTTGTGTCGGACCTGCGTGTTGGCGGCGGCTCTGTGTTCTCCATACAGAACAGCTCGTGGAGTGCGCCGAGTAGTAAATTCCACGAAAGTGCGTGTGTTTTCAAGGACGTTGTGGTGGATGGCGGCAGCGTACTGCAGATTGTGTCCAGCAATTTCCGTCTTGGATTTGCCATGCTCATGGCAAACACGCTGACCGTGACTGACGGCAGCTGGCTGGTGCACCGCAACAA